AAGCATCCAGCCGATTTTTGTTTTTAATACGCGCACGCTTGTCGAAGGGGGGAGGGGGGGGGGGCGCGAAGGGCGAGGGCGAGGGAGGGAGGAGAGGAGGCAGCTATATATTTTTATTTAAATTTACAGAGAGGAAACGCGCGGTAATGCGTCGTCGGATTGGAAACTTGATGCACGCCGTGTAAATGAAAATTTGTTGGCGGACGGGGCAGCCGACGATAAACTGCCGTTTCATTGTGTGCAAACGGCAATCGAGCACGAGCCGGACTGGAAATCCCAGGCGCGTCGTCGCGTCGTTCTCATCAGCCTGCTGCTTGCAATTCGTACATTTGTTTGATACCTTCATATCGATGCCGCCCGCCACCCTGAATCGAAATTGATAGGCTGACAATAACTCGGCGGGGCGTGGAGCGTGGGGAAGAGCGAAAAGATGGTCTCGCGAGGCAATCTTCTTCAGAACGATGGATCGTGCAGTGAGTCGAAACTCGTCGAACGATTCCGCGAAACGGTTCGCTTTTACCATCTACTGCCAAAGTATGAAAAAATAAGCCCTCCCGGTGTAATGATAAAAAAAGAGAAAAGAGAAAAGCTGTTCCGTACCGCGATACGTCCTTTTTACGGCGATATAAAAATACTATGTTTAAAAGAAACGATAGAAAACAGCGTTACACCGGGTGTAAAAAAGACAGGAATTGGAGGAGACGCGTGCAAGGAAAATCGATTAGACGTGTAGTGTCGCGTAAAAATCACGTCGCTAATCAATAAATTACTCGCCGTTAAGAGGATTTCTTTCAATGGCGATTGCGTATTGTACTTCCTTCTAGACGCTGGGGTTTATCCCTCGACGTAAGTCACTCGTGGCGCGTTGGAAAGTGAAATTTCCCGAAAATTTACCGCCGACGACGTGCAATAAAGAGAGAGAGAGGGGGGGGAGGGAAGGAACAAAAGGAGAAAGAGGAAATACGATAATGTAATGGCACGCGTGCGCGTTAGCTCGATACAGGGTGCGTGTCGGGTTACCTCAAGAATGCTCGTACCTGTTCAACCATGTCGGAGGAACCACTCGCCTAAGTATTCCCAACGATCCCGTGTGCTCACGGGATGTTCTGCCTCTCCTTCCCCGACTCGGTCAGATCTACTACGTGCCTCTGAATAACTCGCGGTCATTAGCAGGCGGTCCTTTTTACATGGAGTGCCCGGCATGTAACACCCTGACGAAATACCTCTCGCCGTTCCCCTCTTTCAACCCCCTCGACCCTCTTTCCGGCGCTCATCTACGATAATGAGTACTATTTCGGTAATGAGGTCGCACGCCATTGAAAATCGCAGAGGAGCACGCGATCTACACTCGCGGAAACAGTGCGAGCCGGTGCTCGGGAGACCGTAAAACTTAATGAACGGAGAAATAACCGTTTCGAAAGAATCCCCGGGATCTATTCCCTCTCGTGCTGGCTGCCTCTATCCTTTCTACTTTTCCACCCTGCTCCTCCTTCACCTCGGAGCGTTCCGGGCAAGAGGGAATGCCCATCTAAACGACCGGTCGACTTTTCACTCGCTGAAGATTCGATCTATCCGACCGAGACGCTATCAACGCCCAACGGTGAATTCCTCCGCTCAAAAACGCGCGCGCCGCTGTAAATCGACTTTCTTGCACGTACACCTCCACCCCTTCGTCCATTTTCTTTCCTCCCTACGCGCCCTTTATACTGTCCCCGCTCGTTTCCTCTTCTTGCTCGATCCTGGCACCCGCGCGCGGAGCTTGGATTGCCTCGCCAAATTTTTTTGTTCGCGCGTCTACAGCCGGAGTATCGTCGATCGGAAATAACGATCGCGGAATAATCTTCTCGGTCGTTCGCGCATTTTCAAAATACAGTGAATTTCACACCCGAGTTGAAGAGAAAAATGTTTGGTTAATTCTCGGTTAATGAAACGACCATTTCTCTGATATTAAATTTCACGTTTAATCGTCATTTGTTCGGAAATTTTATATTCGGTAATATCTCTTTTGCTATTGTGTTTCAACGATACATTACTAAATACTCGATGGATTATTCGTAAATAATGTGAAATGAAATATTTACCACTAATGATCTGTTCATCTTGCGAGTGAGCGAAATTTTGGTTACAAAGGGTTAATTCGGTAATTCTAATTTTCATGGTATTTCTCCGGATTTTAACGAGTTTTCGGCTCTTGCGCGTTATGCGGTGCAAAACGATTTTCAAACAGGTGAACTCGTGTCAATTTAATGAGACAAGTCTCGTTTGTTTAGCGGATGAACGCGATGAGCCGTTGGAGATTTAATGATAAATATGTTGTTTTGGCAACAAACAACCAGGGCGTTCCGCGTAATTTATTTAAACCAGAATATAATGTGTTTGAACACGATGTTTGTCAGTCATGGAATGTGATTGCGAGTGCTTGTCCTATGTTTATTATAATTCGTAGAGTTATGTCAAATTTTATGTCCCCGGGAAAAATGGGATGTAAAACGAGTAGATCCGTGGATGAAGTAAATATTGATTGCGGATAATAAAATCAGCCGCCTGCTGTAAAACCAATACTAGCAAATCCGCGAGTTACATCTCAAAGGTTAGGAGGCATTCGTTCTCAACGATCAAATCGATTGAATTCTGGGTTACTCATGGAAATCGAGTGTGAATTTCTCAATTCTACTGTTTAAGTATGCAGAAAGATGATATCAGTATGTATCGTTCATAATAAATCAGAGTCAACGTTCTTGAAAATTTGTATTGCAAATTTTATTTATTTCTTTTTTACTTCATGGTATTAGTTTATTTGAGACTACAAGAAAGATTAATTCACAGAATCTTGAGCAAAAGACACGTTTCTAGGAACAATTTTGTTCACTTTTCTCGACATACGAAGTACAGTAAACGAGATTATGTCACGGTGTAAATTTTCCATGACTTTCGTGGATTGGCATTATTCAGCAATTTCAGTTTCAATTTCACTCTTAATTGATACGCGGAGTACACTATTTTCTCAAGTAATCCATACTTTAGCAAACTTACAAATACTAAACTAAAGGTAACTAAAATGCACGAGGTTGCGTCGCGCCTACGATATTTCCGAGTGTCTTCAAATTTAATTCCCAGGACGCGAAGATCGTCGTTGTTCGGGCGAGGATCGACTCTAACGATCCACTTCGTTTGCGCGATGTTTCGCCACATCCTCCTCTTTTCTTTCAACGGGTCGCGTCGAAGCTGGTAACTCAATTCGCGCATAATGACGTGGCAAGGCACGGTACACGATAGACACGAGCTGAAATTCTCACGAGAAGTTGCCGTTACGCCTGGGCCTTTGATTTCGCCTGGTGCTCGTCGGGCAATGGTATCGGTTTGCCTCTGACTCTCTGACTCTCTCTCTCTCTCTCTCTCTCTCTCTCTCTCTCTCTCTCTCGGTCAACTTCTCACCGAGCAAAGATACGATCTAGCCGAGCGGAACGTTATCACCGGGCCGGAAATTTCTCGGGGCGAGGTGGTGGTCGTCGCCTTGTGCGAAACTGATTTTCGATTTCGCGTTGTCCCACTTTCCTCCGCCATTTCTTTCGTCGATTTTTACTTCTTGCACGAGGTCAGACATGCGACGCGAAACGTTCCAGACGGAAATAATCAACGCCTGATTATTTCTGTCGCCCACGTGGTTCTTCGCGAACAACTCGCTACCAGTACAGACTCAGGCTGATCTGAATAAATAATATCCTTTCGGAGGATTCAGGCTTCTCTGCTATTTCTCAACTTGATTCGACTCTCTTTTCGACAGTGTTATTGGCAACTTGATTTCTGGATTCCTTGATTCATATTCACTGTTGTCTACCGTCTGAACAAAATCGACAGCATCTTCGCTAACGACATAGTATCTTTCGTCGACATAATAATATCGGAACAAATTTATCATAGAATCTCGAAATGCAAATTATAGATGTCGAGCAGCAAGACTTACCTCGAACTTGTGGAACGTCGCGAGGACAATTATTGAGCATAATATGTTAAATTATAGAGAGAAAAGAGAACTGGAATTATTATAAAAATTTCAACATAAAGAGTGGGTGATAGGTGTTAATTTTTCGCGTGACATAAGTAACGTTCATTCACTGGACATGTCATCGTACATCTCGATCATCCATGTTTACAGAATACGAAATTTTATAAAACAATTTAACAACATAATTTCAGATTTTCTCTCTCTTACAATTGCTTGATATTCTTTATTAAAATTAACATTGATCTCTATAAACAGAAACGTAATCGCACAAATCTATTTACTTTAGTTATCATCATTACAATTGTAACGACTTACATATGAAATTAAAACAACAGATCTTGTTCCAACATTTTTTTCAATTTCATATATTGTTAGATTAAATTCAACAAAGATAAATATATTTTCAATTATGGATTATAAAATTTTGTTATTTATTTATTTGATACTATTTATTCCTTCAAAAATTTTTATTTATAGAATTACATGAATATATAAATTTAAATAATTTTTTATTAAAACATTTTTATTGTTTAATGATATTAATTTTGTTATCAATAATTTTATTAATTTTAAGTCCCAATATATTAACAATTACATTAGGATGAGATGGATTAGGATTAATTTCATATTGTTTAATTATTGATTATAATAAATTAAATTCATTTAGTTTAGTGGATTAATAGCAATTATTTTGAATCGTTTAGGTGACAGAGGTTTATTAATAATTATTTCATTTTTGAGAATATTTGGAAGATGAAATTTAATCATTTATATAAAATAGATAAATTATTGATATTTATATTATTAATAACAGTTTTTACAAAAAGTGCACAATTTCCATTTTTTGTTTAATTACCAATAGTAATAAATAGCTTCAACTCCAGTATCATCTTTAGTTCGTTCATCAGCATTATTGCAGGAGTATTTAATAATTTGACATGAAAATTTATTAAATATAAAATATAAAGGTTTTATTTTATTAATTTCAGGATTAATTTCAAAAAAATTATTGCTTTTTCTACATTAAGTCAATTAGGATTTATTTGAAGAATTTTATGCTTAATCTTGTCTGTACGCGAGCAGGGTTTACAATGAATGTTAATGTAGACATAGTTACATATCTTCGCGTCTCAATAACGACTCGCGAATCAATCAGTCGGTCGAACACGTTCGCGAGAAACATGACAACGATAATGAACGACAAACTTGAGATAGGCGTATAGTTGCAAAGATTCTCCCGCGACTGTTCCACGAAAATCTGCCGGATACTTGCGCGAAACTCCCGACAATCTATTTATCCCGCGTTTAAACTTGTTCTTACATGCTCTGCATCGCGAAGGCAACGCGTGTTCCGGTTTTCGGAAAGCCCGCCGGGGGATTTCGGTTACGACGTCATAATTTATATTTGTCGCTGTTGGCACGCCACCGAGCCAAGATGTAGCTCGCGTCCACGTTCTTCAACTTTTTGACTGATTCCCGATGCATTTTTAAAACGCAGCGAGCTGCAGAGATTTTTGCGCCACATTGTGTCGTAAATTTGTGGAGTTTCCATAGATATCTCACTTGGTCGATTTTTTTAAGTTATCTTCACAGTCTAGATATAACATACGTATACCATCTTGCATAGGCAAGACCTACCTAGTGTTGATTAGGTCAAAAGGTTGATATTTTTGTTTAGTTGCACGAAATTCTTCTGCTATTAATCGTCTGTATTTTATTATAGCAAATTCTCTGCTAGATTTAAGACTACAATTGTGTCACTTAAGTTTCGTATTCATTTCTAACAAATGGCTGACACTTTGCCAAATTTTTTAAATCTCTGACCTCGCTGAGCAAAATTAATCTTCAGCCAGTTTCAGTTCATCATTGATGAACTATAGCTATTTTATCAACTGTAAGGAGATTTATTTAAATTAGAATATTCATTGAGCTGCAATTAATTTAGAACTTACACAGACGATAGCGTAACGTATCTAGTAAAAAAGTTATCAATTCTTGCGCACACTGTATCGATATCGCATAAACGATTTTACCAATTTTAAATTCTCTTCTGTCCGACGTTCGTCAGAGAGCTCGATAAAAAGTTTTCATCGTCACGGATGATTACGCGGTAGGTAACCAATCGGGATCGAGTTCATTACGCAGGAAAATGTATTCGAACGGCGTACAGCGGAGCCGTACGTCCCGTTTCATTGTAAATTAGTCGAGTCATCTAAAACAAGGATTCCCGGTATCGCGGACAACCGCTCCGCTTGTAATCTGCGGCGGCTGATTGGACCGGAAAAGTCGGGTATGCGAGACACGGCGTGTACCGGATACGTCGAAACAACTCGTCGGTTCATTGTGTCAGTGGCCGGCACGTTCCACGAGGGGCGCGACCGCGAGTAAAAATAAAGGAACGACAGAGGCTGCTTCGGACAGAAGCTGGCAGAGAACAACGAGAGAGAAAGAGAAGGGAAGTGGCACAAGGAGGGGAAAAAAAAAGAAAGAGAAAGTGGAAAGTGAAAGAGAGAGAGAGAGAAGAGTAGACCTGGTGAAGTGGTATAAGAAGGGAGAAATGAATGAAAAAAGAAAAAGTGGTGGATGACGAGGGGGGAAGGAAAGTGAAAGAGAGAAAGAAACCAGAGAGAGAGAGAGAGAGAGAGAGAGAGAGAGAGAGAGAGAGAGAGTGGCAGGGTGAAGAGGCAGATGTGATAAATGGTAATTGCGCAAAAGTACCGCGGAGGACACGAGTAACACCCGTTCCTCATTAGAGGCTTGTTAGGGCGCCGAGACATAGAGTGACGGAACGCGTGGAGAGGGACCGGAGGGCAGAGAAGTCAGTGTTCGTAGAGGCGCCTCGTCTTTTCTACCCGTACACGCGCGCCTTATCCTTTCTTCTTCTTTCGCCGCGTGTCTGTGCTCTTGCTTTAGGTCAGATCAACCCGCGCTCGTTTCCCTCCGTCTTAATAAACAATCGTCTTGATAGTGTCGCTTCGCTTTCTCCGCTTTTGCTCAATTCTGCTCGGGTACGTGTTTCCAAAGTCGAGAATCTTTTGTCCCAAAATTGCAATATTTTCTCAGTTTAGGTATGACCAAATACACAGGCAAAAGAAATAATAAATTACTTTAACTTCTCAATAATTTCTATCCAGTGGTGTTAGGGCGACGAATTATTGTATACGGAATTATTGTAACTCGTTATGGTCCGCAATTGGTTGCTCAGCGCAAGTCATTCTACGATTTGTATAACATCGTCACTCGCGAGTAGTAATCGAAAACCCACGAAACGGAACTGGATTCGAATTTGTAAGTCATGTATATATCTATTTGATTACACGCGCAATTGTTTCGGTCCGCACACAGAAAAGTCGATTCCTCCTTTTCTTTTCGCGGAACACTCGGAAATCACGTTTTAATCGCGTTTTAATCGCGTTGAAATTGCGTTCTTTCTCACAAGCAAAGTCTCTCTCTCTCTCTCTCTCTCTCTCTCTCTCTCTCTCTCTCTGGTATTTGATTTAATAGGACGATATAAAAGGGACCGTTCTCTCTTTCTTTCGTTTCTTTTCTGTCTCTCCGCGGGCGCTCGGACGACAGGGCAATGTTATTTTGAAAATGTGGAAGATTCCTTGAGCGCAAACATGTCGGAGCGCGACGGGGACATGAAAGGCGTAATTTAAGAACCCGCCGCGCCGCGTCTCTTTGAATGGAAACTTAAATCACTTCGTTTCTCTTTCTGACCGCGAATACGTTTTCATCGGGACCGACGTGCTTCGTTACGGGCTTCATAATTTGTCGCTTTTGTCCGTTGACGGATCATTAAACGGATGAGACATTCGATTAAAATTGTATCCTCCCCGGCTGAATACGTCCCTGGCTTTTATAGCGGTGTGCTACAATGCTATTTTGGCGACGCCGCTTTCACGCTAACGTCTCGGCTAATTGACGGGGACGATGGCGAATACGGAGTTACTAACGAGTTCGCTTCTATTCAAAAATAACGCTATAACGTGTCCCCGTTGCGGAAATTTTGTTCGTTTAGATCGGAAAGTCAAGACAGTTGCAAGCGAATTGTCACGAATGGCACAGCCACTCGATCCTCAAGTAGCATCAATTCAGTTATAAACGAGCGTGGTCGTTTAATAAAATGAAATTTAGGATATTTTCTATCTTCCATTCTCCATTTTTGCCGTAAATTTTTTTTAACATTTTCCGTTATATTTTTGTAACATTTTGAATTTTTATTGCGGAACTGTGAATATTTTATTTCTTCGAAGTGATCTGTTAAATTTACGCTGAAACAGGAGTTGTAGCTGTCATCCCAAGTTTCACGTTCAACTTCTATAAATGAACACCTCCAGTTTGGAATGTTTAATATTCTAATATATAGCATATGTAAAGTCACTCGGATCTCTCTGCAGGATAAATTTTCATTCACCTTTAATTATTCCTAGGTATCTTTTTGAAATCTGCGATTGAAATATTTAAATGAATTAGTACATAAGCATGTAGTTGCCTAAAATAAGATCAGAAACGAAAATTATATTCAAAGATCTCATTTGAAGTTCATTTGACGTAAGAAACAAAATTATGCACCACGAAATCCGTTTAGAATTCTCCAACGTAATTTTGCCAGTCTATTTAACATACTACAATGCGTTATTTCAAGTATGAACGTTGAATCTCAATCGTCAAAACGATCGTGAATTCATCAGACTCGACGAGAGCCACTGCGAACTAATTAAATTATCCGAGACTCGTCAAAACCCAGCAAAGGTCGCTTCAGACTTACGAGACCCTAGGCAGAAACTATCCTGGACACGTCAGCCTCGATAAAGGTCAACTCGGCAGGAATTAACAACCGTAGAAGCTGAAGACAGGAGTTACACCATACGCGTCTCACACCCAAAGAACCCAGATTCTAAGGGCGCAGCTTGAAACCATTTCTAAGCCGAGAAACCTCGTAACTTCGTGGTCCTCGGCTCTCGAGGACCAAATACGACACGGCTCTGTGACATTACGACGAAAGAAAATAAACGGGAGTTTCAATGCCAGTGACTACTTATTCGTTCAGTGAAGCTACTTATCGCTGAAAGGTTCATACTTTGAGCGTTGAGATAGCGTAGCAGAAATTAAATGAGAAGTTGTATAGGTTACGTTTGAACACTAGAATGATCAAAATGAAAAATTGTTCACTTTTTTTTTTTTATAGATTGACAGCAGCGTGAAAATTTTAAATGTACGAATGCTCAAAGTGTTCACTGCCGTATCATAAAATTCTTAAAATAATCTTAAGTTCTCTAATTCACTAAATTTTAAGGATCTGTGTCGAAAAGAAACAACTTCCTATAAACGCCTATAAATTTGTATGAAATGTTATTTTCTTTGAAAAAGAACTTTTATTATAATATAATATAATATAATATAATATAATATAATATAATATAATATAATATGACACAATATAAAGACGTAATATTACAGAGATGAACCTTAAGGGGTTAATTTCTTTGATGCAACGTTTCATGCTTTAATCGTCGGTGGTTCCAGTGTTAAGAGTGTCTGGAGAACCTCTTTTTCAAGAATTTGACAAAATTTGACAAATTTGGGGTGACCTCTATCCAATACGAAACGCTCTGAATAATTCCTATCGGATGGGTCTGCCAAATCTGGAATAAATTTTACTGGATTTTCACGAATCTGACACGACTTCTACCGTGTTTGACAAGTCTAATGTGACTTCTGTTGGTTCTGGCAAATCTGAGAAGACTTTTATCGGATTTAACGTGTCCGAAATGACTTCCGGCAATCTCCGTGGCTCTTCGATGGTTCTTATCAATTTTTACGAGCCAGAAGGGAGATATTTTTCCCAGTGTTATCCTACAATAGCAGCTAGCAAGTTCGTGCGCTCTAACAATTAGAGTAGATCTCCGAATTTCATTCGTTTAAACTAAATTGCAGTAAAATTTATTAAATTGTATCAGAAATTTGAACTCTATTTACTTGAATGTGAGTAGAGTTAACTGTAAGTAGAGTTAATATATGAATGAAAAATCACTGACAATAGATTCCTGTTGTACTATATGAATTCTAATTATACGGGATGACTGATTATAATTTATAAATTCGACTGTATGAAATTACTATAAATTGTGTGTATGTATTTGAAATTACTGGCAAACGACAGTGATGTAAAAAAATAATCGTTTGATAAATGAAAAATGATATAGATTCATTTAAGAAAGTGTATGTCGCTTTTGTATAATCACTATTTATCTGAAGAAAATCTCTTGCAAACAATTAACTTTTGATCTGAATCGATTTTTTAATATAATAGCTAGTTTATTAGTTATTTGTCTGCTGATGAACTTTAAATTTTTGAATGTTTTATTGTACATTAATCGTTCAGGGACAAAGCACTAAATATATATAATTAGATAATTTACTATAATTATATATATAAACGAAAAATATTGTTGAACTTTTACTATTTATGTAATTAATTTCTGAAAATTAGCAAAAGTTCAAATCAACGTTAGGCGTCACTGAATGATTAATGAATTTGAAATCTGTCTAAATATTTCATTTCGTTCAACGTGTGTGGAAAATGACTACTTTTAGCAGTGGCTCTTGTTAATATTTACAAGCTGGAGTAGATACATTTCCTAGCCGAGTGGTCTCGTTGCAATAACCAACCACAAGTTCCTACGCTGTTAATAACGTGATAAATTCCCATTAACACATTGACAGTCACCGCTACGTAACCAGTGATATTTCATTCCATCGAAGAATATTAATTTTACTTTGCCAACTTTAATAATATCTATCTTTATAAATCGTAATTTTATTCTTTCCGCTGCCATACTCGTCTACATTCGGAGATCTTACTAATGAAACTTCGCTGAACACTTCGTTTTGCAACATTTCGTTTTGAATATCCACCGCATTCGCGCCAAGTGTAAGAATTAACGCCTTATATTCAGCGTTATTAACGATTCCATTCCTCGTCTTGGTTACACGGTTGCAAACTCGATTCGAACAATCCACCGCGCTTACCCCGATTCCTCCGCCAGTTTCACACTTTGTGCATTATTCAAACAGATATAAAAAGAAAAAAAGAAAAGAGGCAACGCGCCTCGTAGCTCGGGTATCGCCTCATTGATTTACACATCGGCGTCGCGAGGAGCGTTATCTGAAAATTAAAATCAGAGTTCCATTTTCGTTGGATGGCTCTGGTTTCCTCGACTGTTGGCGGCGAGCGAGCGGGGAAATATCCCTCTACCCGCGCTATTAAGGAAGTGAATCTGAAAGAAATTGTAGCAGACCGGATAAAGGAGAGGCGTAAGGGAGGAGGACGAAGGGTTGGCGGGACCAGAGGGGAGGGAGAGACAGGCAGGGTAAAAAGAGTCGGAGGGAAGGCAGTTTATGCATGTAAATCGTCGGTCCTGACTCGCTGTTTGTTGTTCTTTGCTTCGCCGGAGCGCGTCGACGTTTTACGTGCGCCGCTGTATTTTATTGCGAAAGGTAACTATATATGTGAATACGTACATATATAAACACACACACACACACACACACATACACACGCAGACAGACCAGTCAGGTGAACGTGGTTGCGCGCATACATATACATGCGCCCAGGGGTTTCGCTTTTCCATCCGCTTTTGTATCCCTGAATTCCCTTCGGCAGATCGACTGGTGGCGCATGCACTTTTCGCAGATACGGCCGATTCATCGGAAGCTCGTGCATTTACGTTATGCGTGTCTCTTATAAATAATGTATCTGATATACAATGACCGACATCTTTCCTGTCGAACCTCCGAATTGGTCGATTATTGTCGCTAATTGTCGCGCTTTCGATGCATCGCTTTCGATCGCGCAAATTAACCTCTCGATTGAAGATTTTCTCTTGTAACTTTATTACACGCTGGCCTCTACTGTTCTCGTGTATAAATGATCGAAATAAATATAAATCAATGCTAATCGCGCGTAAATATAAATATTACAAATATCCGAAATAATTTGGCAGATGTAGTCTGAACCGAATTCTTCCTAATCGATTGTTATTCGGCTCGTCAGTTAACTACCGGCTTGAAGAATTTGATCAGTCGTTTTTCAATATTTCCATTCGGGAA